TGTCTCGTCTTTTGAGAACTTTGGGTTTAGTTCCATAGCCCGCTTTTTATTGGAATATTTGTTTTCTTGTTGCTTAGTTTTTAGCTTCTTTGCATATTCTATGATGATGGATGGATGAATGGATAGATGGATGGATGGCTAGACAGACAGATGGCATAGGTTATCCACCATTCTGTAGACTGTCTCGTCACATGGCTGTTTCTTTTGCTGTGCATTAGATTTTTAGCCTCATAAGGCCTTCCTTGTTGTTGATCTTATTTTTTCACATTGGAAGTCACATTGGTTTTCCTATGAATAATCTGTTACCTCTCCTTAATCAATACACTGTGTGTGCAGTTCAGACCTCAGCAAAAGAAAGTTAGAACTTATTGATCGCATGACATTGCTGGGTGTCAAGTGTGTATTACGTTCCCAATGTCTTTTTTTTTTTTTTTTTTTTTTTTTTTTGGCCAATGTTTAAAAAGAAATCAAAGAGTTTATAAAACCCAGTGCATCACTCCCTGTGTCCTCCTAATGACCCTCCCTGCACAGGGTAAGTTCCCCTTTTTCAGTGACTTCCCTAGCAGAATCTGATTTGTATGGTGCCCGCTCTTTCCTTCCTTCCTCAACCCCGGTCTTGTTAATGACTGATTGCATCTCAGTCTCACCACCATTGTATCAGTCTTCCTTCCACCTGGAACGCCTGACTCTGCACTGCCTCCCCTCTTCCTGCCCTGCACCTCCACCTCCCTCCTTCTTCCATCACCTGCCTCTGTCTCTACCCCATCCTATCCTCTTCCCGTGCTGGTTTGTCTCTCAATTTCCACAGAAGGCTTTTTCCTGACAATAATATATCGTATTAACATAATATTTATTAATTTTATATATTTACATTAACATATTATATTAACTAATATGTTATATGTTAGTTAACATGCTATATGCTAATTACATATTCATATATTATGGACACTATATATATATGGACAGGAACACTGTAGTTATTTATTTCGTTATCCTATTTATATTCCTACATGACTTTCTGTTTGACTCTATTTATGAGTCTGTTCACTTTGAGTATCTGTTTTCTAGGGTTGATTAGACAACAGGAGTCCTGTCTTCTTTGCTGATGGATACTCAGTCCTTTAAATGATGCCTGACTTACAGCTGTAATGATAATTAAAAAGGAAAGATTAGATGTGTAGAGGCAAGTTTATAACATTGTAATTGGTTTGAAGGAGTGACATTATAGAAATCCTGAACTCATAAGTAAATAATTTAACATAATAAAATTCTTCTTCATGGACAATAATAGAATGGAATTAAATCTCCATTAAAGAACTGAAAAAGTCCAGAATCTGCAAATACATTATTGTATTTTCAGGCATAAACTATTTGCTGGAGTTTGGCCCTGGATATGTGAAAATGTAGAACTTCTTGAGACATTAAAACTTGAGTCTCAAAAATAAGGACAGGGAAATTTATACAAAGCACTAGATGTTTGGTCACTCTATTTTGGGAAGGTTTTATGGATGTATGGCATAAAAGCTCTCGACATTTTAGAGTGACAGTAATGGATGATAAGTGAGGATGTACCCATGGAGGGGAGAGAAAAGAAATAGGTTTTACTGTCTAAGAGAATATCATAGGGCAAAACTGGTTTTATCCTCCTGGCAGATCACTGAAGTAATTTGATGCTCAGCCAATGGATACAAAACATATTTTTAGAGTATAAGCTCAGTGTCCAGTTAATTCAAAGACAAATTGGTTTGGAGACCTTTGCGGATGGGTCCAGCATAGCTGTGGATACACTGCTGAATCCAACTTTCACTTAGTAGCCAGAAAAATAACAGCTTCTATTTGCCAAGGCTTCTGTGTTCATATTTCATGGCTGTATTGATCTCACCACTTTTCCTGAAAATGTGTTGCTTCTGTGGTGTATATCTTGATTCCATTTCTACTAGGTAGAAAATATGAATCATTGTCCTAGAGAATATTACAACTGAGATGTGATTGACAGCCAAAGAAAGCCACTTGTGAACATAGACATGCACAAATCCTCACCTTCCCAAATGTTTCTTTGACTCAAAATAGAAGGAAATTATGTAAGAAATACACCTGAACGGTAATTAAGGAACTCCATGACTCTGTACTAAGGTTTTATTTTCCATTTTTTTTGTTTGTTTTGATGTTTTTTTGAGCAATTGTAAGCAAATGATGCAATGATCTGTAATAGTTCCAGAATGTTATTTCAGGTTAGAAGCAGGATTTCACTGTGGAAAGAACTGCTTTGTACATTACAAAGTTCTATATCGTTATTGGATGAAAATATAAATGTGAAGATTTCATTCTTGCAAATATGGACACTTCTAACCCCAATAAGAAGTTGGTAATTTTTCTGTCAGTCATTCAATATTTCTCAAGAAAGGGGCAATGAGACTAAATCAAGTCATACAAGCTGCATAGTTTTCAGAATGAATTAGCAGATGTCCAAAAATCTCACTTTCATTTCAAAGTTAAATCTGTTTTTATGAAAAAAAGAAGTAGCCTTTTTCTTTTATATTAGGTTTTTTTAAACCAAGGAAAATTTGTTTTCAAAAGTAGGTTATCTAGCTTTGGTTGGCTCTACACCCATGTATATATGGGAAGCACTAACTTGACTAAGTGGGTTATCAAAACCTAAAAATAAAAAGAGCATGATGGCATATGTCTGTAATCCTAGCCCTTCCCTAGGGAGGCAGGCAGATGCAGGTGGGTTTTTGAGTTCCAGACCAGCCAGGGCTACATAATGAGATCTTGTCTCAAAACAAAGAAAAACAAATAAGAAGATATGAAATTGGTAATGGGAAGTGCTGTGGATAATATGGGGGGAGTTGAGAGAAGGAGTGGAATTTGAATAGTATAGTATTTTATTGTGTATAAAATTCTCAAGAATAAAGAAAAATGTCCAAATAAACTGTCTAATATTAGCTCAAGTGATGGTTAATACTGACCATTAATTTGACAAAATTCACCTGGGAGAAGGGACTCTGGGTATATCTGTGGGAGATCATCTTGATTAAGTTCCCTGAGGTGAGAAGGCATGCCCAACATGGGTAGCAGCATTCCCTAGGCAGAAGATCCTGGACTGTGTAACAGTAAACAAAGAACTCTGATCACTGGCGTGTGTGCCCTAATTCACTGCCCTCTGAGTATGGATGTATATGATTATCTGCTTCACATTTCTGATGCCTTGACTTCCTGCAGTGATGGATTATAAACTAAAATGAACCCTTTCTCCCCTCGAGAACTGGAAAGGAAAGTAATACAACTTAAGTAGTTGATTCTTAGATAAATTTAATATAAATCATTTAATCTTTGAAAGATTGTACTCTGTATCAAAACAATCTGTTTTAGCTTTGATATAAATATATCTATAGAATTAGAGTCCTGTTGAAGGAATGTACCTGTAGAATTAGATTAACCTATGGCGCCTCTGTTCTTGGGAGTAGTTTAGGAATATAAAAGGACTAAAATAAATGCCCAGGACTTGAAAGGTGACTCTGTTGGTAAAGTGACAGCCACACAAACCTGGGGACCTGGGTTTAGATCCCCAGAACATGTAAAAGCTAGGGGTGGCAGCAAGATTCTGTAACCCTAGTTCAAGTATACGAAGTTAAGTGGACCCATAACGTTCATTAGCCAGTATGTCTACCAAATTGCTTTGCTTCTGGTTCAGTGAAAAGCAATGTCTCAAAACTAAAGGTGAAGGGTCACTGAGGAAGATATCCAGTGTCCATCTTAGGCCTTTATACTCACCTATACCTGTGTGTATACATCCATGTTACCAAGTACAGGCACCACAAACAGACATAGAAGAGAGAAGAGAGGAGTGGGTGGAGCAGGGGAAGAGCAAATAAGACAAAAAGTCATATTCGTGTTCATTACTTCCATCATTTAATAATAATTGTTGCTGAGGCAAAGATCCACCATAGCATCCTCTGTGTGCATATATCTGTCCCATCATGACCTTGTTTTCCCCTCTTCAGTTTGGCCTTGAGCACTCGTTTTAAAGTTCATTCTCCTCAAACAAGTATCTCAGAGATATGGGAAATCAGCAACCTGAGTCATAAGTGATGCTTTACATTGAGAGAAATAGACCTAATTCATTGCATCTCTCAATAGGCTGTCTTCCCAAAGAAGTTATTTTCTTCACTCAGCATCCTACCCAGCCCTGACTTTTGCATAGCACAAGGAATTGAGATTTCTGATACTGACTTGATTTGACCACACAGGAACTATAGAGTTATCACTAAGTAATTTTACAAGGACAATAGAAGCTTTAGTTTCTGCTTGAAGTCAAATTCTTTCCAAATTTATGTCTAAATCCAAGAGTGTTAAAAAGAACAACCCTAGTCGTGTGTGTGTGTGTGTGTGTGTGTGTATGTGTGTGTGTGTGTGTGTGTGTGTGTGTGTGTGTTATGTTGTTATGGGAGACTCTTTTTAGAGTGTGTGTAAGAATAAAAAGAGATTTAAAGAGGAATGTTGCCCTTGCCATAGTTGAAAAGTGTTTTTATGCAGAAAACTACCCACCACACAAACTAAAAGCTTGCCCCATTTATTGTTTTCCTATATTCTTTCCATACATCAAATGATATTGTGGTGCGAATATTCTCTCACATGCATTCTTAAGTACAAACTCAAAATTACTAGAATTACACAAATAGTACACTTGTACTTTTAGAAAAACTTATAAATAAATTCTCCCAAAAATGCTTATTTGAAAGTTGGAAACCTGCACATGTACTTGTAGTCATTCTGCTTCTTTTTCATGTGTTGAATATTCATGTAAAATGCACTGTTGGCAGCCTCTTCTCCATGAAGGGTTCATTGATGACCCACACTAGACCTTCTCTTCCCTGTTAAATAAAAGACTGCCCATTATCCAGTGGCCTTTTTGTCACTGTGAAGAACAGGAACATTTTATTCTTTTTTTTTTAAATGGCCTTTCAGATTCAATAACAGCTTGTTCTGTTCCTCAGGAAACAAGGGACGATCGAGACAGGACGCGGCTGGACTCCATGGTGCTGCTAATCATGAAACTGGACCAACTAGACCAAGACATCGAGGATGCCCTCAGCACTGCCTCTTCTCCATCCAGCACCCCAACAAACCTGCGGCGGCATGTCACTGTGAGCTCGCTACTCCCTGCTCTTTTTTTTCCTGGAGAAATAGTGCTTCTCTGTTTCTGTCTGTCTGTTGTTATTAGTGTTTGTTTAACTTCCAAAAAAAAAAAAAACCTGTGGATTGACCCTCAGGCCTTCCCCACACTAGGCAAGCAATCTTCTGCTTCCCTTTATCATCTGTCTCTACTTTGAGACACAGACTGGGCAGGCTGTCCTTAAACTCACCATGTAGCCCCAACTGGCCTTGAACTTACTACCCTCCTGCCTTTGCTGTTTGAGAAGCTAGGATTACAAGTCTGTGCCCTCCAACTCCAGTTAGAATAGGTCCTCTTTATCTTGTATGGTCTCTCTTATAAGTGAAAATTTTTGATAATGACATCTACTAATAAATGAAGCAGAACCCCAGAGAGATCAGTCAGTTTTTCCACAAGTCACACAGAGAGTTCATAGACACATGGATTACAATAAAAAAAAAACTTAACATTAAAAAGGACCTTAGGAAATTCTACTTCTTGGGGATTAAGCCCTCCTTGCTGTAGTCGTTTGACTATATTTACTACTCTTCAATGACACGATGCAGACATTACAAATGCTATGTCTATCTTGATAACTACATTATTCCTAGTTCTTCAAATTATGATCAGTTATTTCCAAGATATAAATTCTTATTCTATAAACTCACACTTCATGGGAAAAACATATTTCATAAGTGTTTTCTACATGGACAGATGGATAGAAGGCTGATTGGGATGGGATGGGAGGATGGATTGGTGGATGGATGAGTGGATGCTTTGAGGTAGATAGTTGGATAGAAGATGTATGCATAGTAGCTCTTCCAGTTTCATGTTAAGTGGTTTGGTTTATGTATTTATAGAAAACATAGCATAGAGGTTAAATATAATTCAGCCACAACATATTTCAATTAAAGGATTTTCATTACACAATGGTAAACAAATTAATCAAGAAATTTATATTTACATGAAATTCAAAATATAGAGTATCACATATACAGTTTGGCACACTTATTAAACAGAATTCTTTGGTACCTAGTTCCTTACTTAACATAGTTTATTGATTCTGAGGTAAAGGAGCAAAGGTCAACATGAGATGGATGGTATGCACATAGACAGATGTCTTCTATCTATGTCACCACACATATTCCTCATACTGTTACAAGATGAGTAAGACATATATAGAAATTGATTATTGGATGTGCAGGAGTTGGCACAAAAGTAAACCCAGACAGACTTAATCCAGGTCTATAGCCTTCTCACAATGAGAAGCTGATATCTTTAGATTAACAACCACCATAATAATCATCCAACTGATACGAAACTAGATTTCAATCTTGAAAGCTGATAAAAATGAAATTTTCATTTTTGGTATTCTTAATAATTTTTCTTGTCCTTCAAGATGCATTGCAAATGCTTTCTTGACAGTGAGTTGTACCTAAATAACTTTCTCAAAAAAAAAAAAAAACAAGAAAACAAAAGACTAGTCCTTCTCTCCCTAATGTTGTCTTAGTTATTTGCACATAGTTTCATTTTAGCAAAGAGAAAGGGAATCTAAGTGGGAGAAATGCAGTCAAAGCAATGTCCTAGCAGCCCATAGGAAGGGATGCTTTGATTTGATTGACATAAGAAGAAAGGACAAAAGTTTCACATTCATTTTTCTCTAGGACCTTTAAAGGCAGAAATATCTTGTTGTTCATGAGGGCATAGGACTTGGTACCTCTTTTACCATTCATGGGGTCTGGAGTATGCATTTTTTAAGTAGTTTTCAGGAGTAAGTTGTTATAATCTTGCCTGTTTTTTAATCTCTTCACTCTCTGTTCAGTTTTTCTCAGTCCCCATATATTAAACAGAAAAGCACAGTTCTACAAAACACTTTTGTTTTGACTCCATTTCAGTAAAGATAAACAAACACATGAACTAATTAATATACATGATGACTTGATCATTTGTCTACATCTATGTTTTGCATTTCTACAGAAATTGTAAATTGGACTTTAGTGTTTCATACACTATCTCATGGAATATTACCATAATTGTTGCCACTCTAAGCATAACATCTGTTTCTAAGATCTCAATTTACCAATGGAATAAAGCAAAATAGGTCAGCAGAAACAATACAAATGCCAGTGACTGAAGGTCTGTTTTGGATCCCTGGTTTATAACTGATCACCAAAGATTGTTAAGAAAATTGTCTATTTTTTCAGTGGTAGGTTCGTGTCACAGAGATAGACACACACTAAGATTAACTGATAAACTCATAGCTGGTTAGGGAGACAGATGAAAAGACATACATACACAGACTTGTATGGATCTAGCCCAGAATACGCTTGGCTATTGTTGATTCTCTTCTCTTTCCTTCTACACTCATATCTGACACTGAGCAAAACACAAATAATATGCATCCCTGAGCCTTGAAACTACTTTTCAATCTCTACAGTATTCTGGGTGGCCCTTGGTCTTTCTCTGTGCTCATTGGTATTCAAAACTAATGTTCATATCATCTCTCTGCATTTTGCATGCTCTTTGATAATTGTGCCATGGAATGAAAGGATTCTGATGTCATGATTAGGACTTTGATTGTTCTCCAACGAGCACTAACCAGAGAGAGACAAGGGAGAAACTTCCCCCACTCTCCCACTCCACCACCAGCACAGTACACAGTGAAACAGTGAGTCTTAACGTTAACATGCCCACCCTGTTTAAGAACACTTACAAAATCCCCAGAATGGATTATCTCTATAAAAAAGACTATTAATAGGGACAGAGCCTGGGATTATGAATAACAACTTTCATGTGAAATCAGTCTTAAAAAAGGACTTAGATGAAGCTGCCTAGAGAAAACCTAACAAACTGGCTAAAACCTAACAAACTGGCCATGCCCCTGTAGATTCTCCACATCCCAAAATCTGATTTGGTATTTTGTGACCCCAAATCTTGACCTTGTCTGAGCATCCCACTGTTTGCCAGTCCCTTAACACCTCCTAACTAATGAGAGAAATCTCCTAGAATGAGTGGAAGGTGGAAGAGGGGGTGGGGTTAGAGGAGAAAGCAGTAATAGTGTATGCTAAGCTTTGCATATTTTGCTTTACTTGCTCTCTTGGTCCTGGTGATGAGCATTGTGAGTCTCAGGAAGGATGAGGGATTTGTTAGAGGTCACGCAGATGCGGAGTGAGAAGTTTGCCAAGAGTCACACAGCCCATGAGAGTCACTTCCTCATCTGTCAGAAAAGCCAGCTCTCATTCTGCCACACTGTAAACATTCCCAAGATCTTTTCTTCTCATCAGTGACTCTGAGTTTGAGTCACTAATTGTTGTTCACGTGAACGTGTAACCAAGTTGATGTTCATAATATTTTTGGGACACTTCAGCCACACTGTAGAGAATCTAAAGAAATACATAGGCTAAGGCAAAGTCACTGGCCTTTTGATGGAGTTTGGGCATTATTGAGCGTCTTTCAGTCTTCTTAATATTCCAAGTCCTTCCTATGGTTAAAACTATGCAGGACACAGTGTTAGTGTTCAGGCATCCATGCTGACCTGTCCTTGGGGTTCTGACAGGACATGCCCTCAGCTGCAGCCACTTAGAGCACCACCTGTGCACATTCAATCTCTCTCTGCCTCTCTCTTCTGCTGCTCCCTAGGAGGCCAGGCCCCCTTCTACCCCCCTCTCTTTTCCCATTGACTTTCCCTAGTTAAAAAAAAAAAAAAACCCATCCAAGCTCTGTCTTATTGTGTCATCCTCTTGTACACCACTTTTTAAAATTACAACATATAGTATGTCAGTATACAAGATGAGGAGAGAGAGGACATTGCTCTTTTTCATTCCTGACATAAACACAAAAGCTTTTCTTTATTTTTCGTCAAGCATCTCACTGTATCAACTCTTTTGGGACCCAAACTTTCATATTCTTTTTACCTAGTTTGCCTTTTTTGAATTGATTCTTGGCTACTTTTCCATCAACTAAATCTGTCCTCCCTGCCCTGGCTTTGACATCTCAAGAGTAACTGCATTATTCTTAACACTTGAGCTGGCTTTCCATGTCGGCTTTCACTGCTCCTTTGATGTCTGCTGTTTCTCCCATTACCTCCTCATAAAATTATGTTTTGTGGACACCAATACCCCCTCTTCCTAATTTTGCCCTTTTATTTATTTTTCCTACTGAATCTTTATTTATTTTTCCTACTGAATCGCTTTGGATATTCTCCCTAGGAATCACCTGGCTTGCATTGCTTTCTTCTTAATAAATATCACCCATGATGCCTTACTTCATGATATGAACATCTGTGTTAAAACAAACAAACAAACAAAACAATTCCCACTATTTTTTGCTATAGTAGAATGGTATGTGCACCTCTTCCATGGAAAGGTGGATAATCCACCACAATAGGAACTCCTGTGAACTATGTATATTCCATCCACCTGACATGGTGAAAACATGGGGTAACAATGACACTAGAGAGCCTGATTGCCCCACAGGGCATCTGATGGATTGCAAGAGCAAAGGTGGGCAGTGTATCAATAACTGGGTCGTGCTCACCATTTAGTTTGCTTAAGATGGTTAAGTAGGGAGTGAGTGAGTGTGAGATCTCAGAAGAGTTGATTGTGATTTCTCACAGTGGTGAGTGGAAAGGGGGATTTCTACAAGTGTCTTCCTACCCACTGCCCTGTAAAATTTCTCCTTTCCTTGTACTTCAGGCCCTCAGCAGACAATACAGTGGATACTTTGTGAGGTTGAGCTTTGAGGTCAGGACCTGAGATTTAATAGCAGCTCTGCCATTGAATGTGAGTTTAATCCAGAGCTCTTCCTTCAGTCTGGGTGTCATTGTCTCTCCAGGGATGACAATAATACCTTCCACACAGGAAGAGCAAGCTGAAACATATATAGCTGTAAAATGTGGTTTGTGCAAAGTCACAACCCAAGACTGATACATTGAAAAAATATTATTTCACCTCATATTTACTGTTGTGTGGCTAGAAAAAAATAAAAGACCGCACTGTTAACTACTTCATAACTCATGGATAGGAAGCCAGAATAAATCCAAAAGACCCCTGTTATTTAAAAAAGGCAAATTAAATGAATTATCACTCATGACTGTATATTTAATGTTTATAAACTACCCTGTTTTTTGCTGGTGTCTAATTCATATTAATTCAGCTTGAAATTCAAGTGAGCCATGTTTTATTTAGGGTAAAATACGATTTGATTTTTGTTTGTTTGCCTGTCTTCGATGCAAAGACATAAAATAGTCTGATCTGAAGTCAAGAAATTTGGTTACAATTATGTGCTTCACACATCTATGTGTGAACACACACATGCACACAGGCACACATATCTTAAAGAACACATTGTCACCATTCATGCTCATTAACATGCTAGCTATCTCTTATTACATTCCATCTTTGGAAAAGCACTACATACATTGTGCACTAAGACTGGAAAGATGTTTTCTTTTGGCATTCACAAGGCCCTGTGAGGAAAACTGAAAGGTACCTCACCTTGCCACCCTGCGATGTTATGAGTTACTGGCAGTCACATAAGGAATGAAGACTGATTGGAGAAAATGGGCATGTAGGGGGCACTCATGTACCTTTCTTCATGGCCGTGCATTTGTTTTTTTTAACAGGATCTAGAATCAGGATCCGAAAGCGGAGCAGATATTGTCTCAATAAATCAGACACAGGCGACTCTGTCTTCTAATCCTGACTCCATCAATCCATTATCCACTCCAGGGAGCAATTCTGGAACCAAACCCAAGACCATGGTAAGTTGTAAAAAATCCCAGACCAACAGTCAGTATTGCTGAACTTGAGGTAAGCTTTGATAGCCCGCTGTTCAGTGTGGAAAAGAGATATTGGAGTCTAGGCTGTATCAATTTGATATTATTTACTTAAGCATCACACTAAAAAAATGTATCCTGTTTATTTCTTTAAATGGCTATATAAGTAGTTCACTAAAGTAAGCCCTGAATCCAAAATTATGCTGAATATATGGTCCATGAATTCTGTCGCAGAACTTTAAACAACCAAGAATGTAAAATGCAGAGATGAGTTTTCCTGTGTTGTTATCCTGATCATAATACATACTTGTTAGAAAGTCTCTGAGCTTCAATGATGGATGAATGGATTGGTAAGATGTTGTCCAAGATGGTATGATGATATGCAGAACCTCAGATGTATAAAATCACCCCATCATATTGTGTGGGTATTCAATGATGTACAACATGGAAAGTCTAACATTTAAAGGAGTGTAAGCCACTGTCCTGGTTGCCCTGATTGACGGACTTTACAGTGCCATCTACATGAATGGAAAGGAGACTTTCCACACGGTAGCACAGCATGGTCAACTCTAAATGAATGATGCTTTCCTTTAAGGAGAATGTGAAGTGCAGCGGGAAAATAGTGTTTGACTCTAAAAGGTAACATTTATGGGGGAAGTAATTACTGCTTCAAATATCTAAAGTCCACACAGTTCCAAAATAGCCTCTCCTAGTTCGGTGAAAATCACAGACCCGTATTATTTTCTTAATCCCCATGTTAGCTTAACACAGATAAATGAGTTTGAACTGTTTGTTTTCCTGTCTTTAAAATAAAGGCAGTTCTAAAATGGGACTAAAAGAATACTCTGAATTTAAGATGTGGTAGATTCTCTGGGATTTAAAGAGAATCAATGCACACTGTTGACAGAACAGATGAGCTTGTCCTCAGTATTTACATGGGTAGGAGGTAAATTGCCTGCTGTCATTTATATCCAGATCAGTTGATGGTAAACATCTACTACATACCATGCACTGTGCCAAAAATTGGAAGGAAGAAAAAGACTCTGAGAAATAATATGCTACCCACAACTTTAAATGGTTTCCATTTTAGCAAAGGAGAATAGGTACTTAAACAGCGAAATGTAAGGAAATGCTCCAACATTATCAGAGTGCTACATATGCAGGGAATAAAAGACATGGGCAGTGTTGGTTTGGGACACAGTAAAAGAAAGACAGTCACAGTAACATGTGGTAATAGGCAAACTCTAATGGAATGTTGTTCTTTTACTTCATGATAAACATTCTTGGCTTACCATTTTATCAAGGTTCTTTAATGTACTGTACAACCCTGTCATGCTGTCTTTGTGTCTTCAGTGGCTTAAGCCCTTCATGTATAATTTAATGTAAAGATGCTACATGAAAATGTATGAATCTGGACACTACAGGTTCTTTTGTTTCAGTTTGGTGGGATTTATTCGTCTTATGTTTTGACTGAAGTACAGTATTTATGGTATAAAATGTACTAACAGTAAGGTTAATGGATTTTCTCATCTGTAGAAATCTAGTCTTGCATAGTTGTGTGCCCATGTGGCTGCCACCCAGGTCAAGACAAATTCTGTGGGACACGGTGATGCTGGGTCTGGATTGTACACTCTCCTGTCACATTTTTTCTCCATCTATCCGAAAATTATATGATTAAAGCAAGTGGTGCTTATAGCTAGTTTTTCAATTCATTTTACATTTTCTCTAAAGGCTTTGTTTGATATGTATGTTTATTTGTGAGGTATACTATTATAATTTAATGTATGTCTGTAGTGTGCCATGATCAAATCACCATAACCTACATTTGTCTGAGAGCCATCACATTGGGACAACAACCTTAAGAGCTAATTGAGAATGGCTTGGGTTTCAAAGTCTCAAAGCCTACCCCTAATGACACTCCTCCTCCAACAAGGCCACACCTCCTGGTCCTCCCCCAAACAGATGTATGAGCTGGGACCAAGATGAACATATTAGTAATACTTTGAGTTGATGGGCATGGGATGAATCCATTTTCTTGTGTGTGAGCTCTGCAGTTTTTTCTATTGTTTTATAATTTTCATTGTGGAGATCTTATTCCTTTGTTTCAATTTTATTGTATTTATTTGTCTATTTTTGTGCATGTGTGCATAAGTCAGAAAACAGTTTTCTAGAGTCAATTCTCCCCTTCTACCAAGTATGTCCTGGGTATTAAATTCAGATAGTCAACCTTGGTGGAAGTTCCTTTACCCCATGAGCCAAGTTGCTAACCCTAATTTACTTCTTTAGTAAAATTTATTTATGAGTAATGTATTTTTGTGAGGCTTTGGATATGATTGTTCTAAATGGTATTTTACCAACAATCCTACCCAGTTATGAGACCTATAAATCACAACCAGAACTAATATGGCTTGATAACCATATTCAGTAGTGGCACATATACCCTGGTGGTAGTTTACAGCTCTCTAATTGGACTTAAGAGCCACTCAGCAAGAAGTTGGGCCTGTTACTGAAAACCTAGACAATTGCCCAAAGCTGACGAAAGTTAATGAATCTTGGAGAACAACCTACAACCACCACTTTACTAAAATAGCATAATCATTAACTAAAATTTATCATTATACCCCAAAAGAATTATAGTCCCCATCCCTTTTCAGAGAAAATTTTCTTTAAAAAAAAAATCAGCCATTTATTATCAATACATAAAAATGCGAGAGCAGAATCAGTCTAGTATTGTAGTGAGCAGAAAAACTGAAAACATTACAGGTGTGTATGAATGTGAGATGATGGTTTATCTTCATGCCTTGGCAAGGAGCTTCTCAAGTTGCCTGGTGCCACAAAGATTCTAATAATGGTGATGGGACCTAGAAACTTTTAAGCAAGTTGGTACAGAACAGCTTGGAGTATAACCTGAACAACCTAAGGGACCTTTAGAATTAACTAGTATATCCTAAACAACCTAGGGAACTTTGGGAATCCACCAGAATCGACTGTGTAATAAAGTGAACAGCCAGCCTCAGATTGAACATATCACAAAAAGTAGAAATAAAGGCCATATATGGGTTACTTCAGCTCAAGGTAGCAATAATAGCTCTAATTCAGTGAGTTGAATTCAACTTCCACTATTTTAATTATTACTGGAGTAAAGATAAAATAGATGATGTGAAAGCACCAACTCATGGAAGGCTGGGAGCTGAGGGTGGGCAGAGTGACACCCAGTCATATATCTGGTTCCTTTAAAGAGGGACTGAGAACAGGACTTCCCTAAAACTGATAAGAGACGGGCAAAGCAAAGCCTCAACAGTGTGTCCCACTCTGTGAGTCCTTGCTCATTTATGGATGGCCAGTTCAAGGCCAGTCTTGATATTTTAACAGTGTTGGTGACAGTTACAGGATGCCTTTGCTCAGTTTAAGTTTTAATGGAGGGAAAATGTCTACCATGATCCCATAGGGGTCACTTTAAGGCCAAATGGAAAAGGCCAGTCTGCACACCATAGTCATTTTCCCACCACTGCCATGACAGAATCAAATAATAACTCTCCCAGTCTGACATTTACTTGTCAATGGAGTTCTCCTCTTTAAAGGTTGTACATATGCTGAGGTAAAGAAGGGGAAGTGAATATGTGTAATATATCTAACATTGCTTTATTGGTTGGTTGGGTTTTGTTCATTTCTATTTTTCTTTCATTAATTTTTTTGTTAGTTTGGTTTGTGTAAATAGATCACGATTTCATTATCCCTTCTGCTGTTGATGGCCATCTAGTCTGGTCTCTTTTCTTTGCTATTGTAAAATATACAGCAATAGCACGAGTATAATGTGGTGAACTCGGAGGATGCCCAGGAGTGGTACAGCTGAATCATCTGGTAATCTTAGTTGTGTTTGAGAAACCTCCATACTGATTTCCATAATGGCTGTACTAGTTTACATCCCACCACTATAGAATCAGTTCTTCCTTTTTCCCACACACTAGCCAACTTTTTCTGTCTGTTCTATTGTTGGTTCAAAGTGGTTTGCATTTGCATTTCCCTGATGGCTGTGGATGTTAGACACTTTTTTTTTAATTTTATTTAATTTTATATAACAAAGTCCAGTTAAATGAAAACAAACATTTATACACAACATTTGGGAATTTGGGTGTCGTTCTTTCCAAACTACTTCCTGCTGGTAAGGGGCACTGTCTTGCGGGAATTCTAAGAAGATTCAGATATCCTGGCTATAGTCTGTAGGGCTGTTTTGTCCAGCTGTTTTGAATGTAGGATCAGCTTGTACTCTGTTTCAGGTGGTCTGGCGTGATCAAACCACATTAGTCTGGAAGGAATCCACATCTTTTCATTTTCTGTGGAAACGAAAATAGAAATCCTTTTCCCCAGTAACTTGTCCTTGAACTTAAATTTTGGAGTCAAAGCATTTTTTTAATTTATTATTTTACATGTCGATCCCAGTTCCCTCTCCCTCCCTCCCTCCCTCCCCTCCAGCCCTCCCTCCCTCCTTCCCTCCCTTTTACCCTCTCTGCCCTCTCACATGCACTCTAACCACCCTCCCCTCCCATCCCCCCACCCCAATTCCATATGTAGGGGAATGCCATCCAGTTGGGGTCATGTAGATCTGTGACAGGTCCTGTGAAGTAGGGACTAGGGCTTCTCTCCTGTCTCTAGATTAAGGCAGTTATCCCTCCATGGGGGATATGTTCGCAACGTCCTTTTGTGCACCAGGGATACATCCTGGCTCCACTGTCTGAGGTCTCTTAGACTGCTCAGTCCTTCTGGCTGAGACCCATATTCAGGGGGGGCCTGAGTCAGTCCCATGCTGGCTTCCCAGCTATCAGTCTAGTGGCCCTTAGATCCTCCTTGTTCAGGTAAGCTGTCTCTATGTGCTTCTGCCGCATGGTCTTTTCCTCTCCATCTGCTTCTGGGTTCTAGTTCGACTCAGTGTTTATGTATGGGTGTTTGCTCCTATTTTCAACAGGCATTAGTTGAGGGCTCCATGG